TCTTTTTACATCATTTTCATTAGAATGTGTAGAAAATTATCATTAAATAAAATTGCATTTTTATTTTTATTTCATATTTTTCCCATATTTTCTAAATAAATAGCATTTTAAATAGATTCATTTCATGCATGATTTTATTAATTTTTGTTCTACTAGATGTTTTCATATTTTTTGTTCATTCTTTTTAGGTTGCTTAGATGAGATATTGAACTTGTAGAAACAATTTAGTTCCCTTTTTTAGGAATTAATTTTAGGTGCTTAATGTAGGCTTGAACAACATGAACAAATTAGGGTTTTTAGATGATGACTTAGGAGGCTTGATTCCTTTCCCTCAGGACTTAGGGTTTGGCTAGTTTAGTTATGGGACTATAGGGACTATGGGTAGTTATTAGATCCCCTTAGAGAAAAGTTAGGATTCCCCTACTGCTATTAATACTCTGTATATATCTGATTGTCTGGTGTGGTGTGCCCTCTGGGGATTACTGCTTGCTTGCTTGGGTATTGGGATTGTCTGGGGATTTGGGAGAGCTGAAGACTTGAGGAGATGAAGACCATTGGAGATCCAGAGATTAAAGATCAACTGCCAGAGTTGGAGAGGAGGTTCTTGCTAGCAGCTGTTGAGGAGACTAGGGTTTAGGAGCTAGGCAGAGCTCTAGATTAGAAAGCTTGTTTCTCAAACATGGAATGCCTTGTCTGCATCCATCCTTTCTCTATGATTCAAAGTCTCTTTCAAATATCCACCTCCTTCCTTTGGAAGGATCAGTGAATATATTTGAAAGATAGAACTTTTGAGAGGAAACTTTCTGTTTAATGTTAACAGTTGATGAACCACCTTTGGTAGGTAATTAACTGTCTGACATTCATTCACTTCACTCTTGTGACTAATTCCCCATCCTGGAGGTTTGAGCTTGAAGAAAAGCCATTGCTGATAGAAGACAGATGATCAAAGCCCTTGCCTGAAGGTCATGAAGATGGAGATTGATGCTTGTTGAAGCCTGTAGCTGATTGGAGATTACTTGAAGCCGGATGGTGATTCAGAGCTGCTGATGCTGTTTATTTTTACTGTATTTCATTTGCTGATGTATTGATTGGTTTTCTGGACTGTATTGTTTGCTGTTTACCCTGCTGGGTTGAAAGTGAAGTCTGTTCACTTTTGCCTATTGTTTTCCAGGTTCGAGGTTGAGTGGGACTCCCTTGCCTCGCTTGTACTGTTGCATCCATGCATTTTACTGTCTTACTGTATATATCTGCTATTGTTTCTGTTTCTGCCTATCCCGTAGGATCTCTGTTTCTCTCTGTGCAAGAGAGGAGCATGATAGACACTAGGTCTTAACCCATGCATGATAACATTAGGTTAGTTCGTTTCCCTTCGCAACCATAGGTTAGAGTTCTATCTCTTCTTCCTCAAAAACAAACAGAAAATACAATAAAATTTCAAACACAATAAAAGACACTTCTTCCGTAAAAGAATGTGAACTCATCAAGACGTCATTTTTGTCCGCCGGGACTGCTAATCAAGAAAACCCTTTTTCAGAAGGAATAAAATCAACCAAGACAGACTTGTGTCGTACGTGGCCCGAACTACGTTTGCTCTGATCTTTCATGCCGTGTGGAAGTACGTAGGCATAGGATGCGATATCCTAGCGAGCAACCTTCCCCTCCTTTCCCGTAGGTAGGCGAACTACGTTGACTCTGATTTCTCGTTCCAGACGGGAATACGTAGGCATAAAGTGCGATACTTTGCCGAGTCATTTTATTTTCATTTTATTTTCTTTTTAACCCCTGACCTGTAGAGTAGATAGAATAACAATCCATACCCGAAAACAAGCGTGGATCCCGTCGAGTACGACGGACGTGAGGGGTGCTAATACCTTCCCCTTGCGTAACCGACTCCCGAACCCAGGTTTTGGTTGCGATGACCATACCTTTCCCGTGTTGTGCGAGGTTTACTCTGAGCGTTTCCTTTCCCTCCCGTGGGATAAATAACGCACGGTGGCGACTCTTCTGTTCAGCCGGCGCCGATTTTCGCAGTAGCGACACCAATCCAAAACATTGACTGATCAAGCAATAATCTCTTTGATTCCAAAGATGCAAAACCCTAATTCAGATGGGCATTAACAACAATAATCTTGAAACAAGGTTAAAGTTAGAAAATAATGCTTGATGCTTCTATAATGGCAATGAAATCTAGGGGTCAAAATTTAGGGTATAACACTTACCGTATCAACATCGTCATTCAACTTTTTCTTCCATTTTGTTTTCACTTTTTTGTTGTTTGAGAAGCTTTCTTTCATCTTCTTGGAGATCTTTTCTTATAATGCATTTTTATATACCTTTTATGAATCTCTTTGCTATAGTCTCATCTCATGTGCCTCAAGAGATTCTTGCAATTTTTCAAGCTTCATCTCTAACAAGTTTTTAGATACTTCAATTGCCACCACAGTGTAATTAAATTTAACTATAATAACCCTTAACACATTATCCACCATTTGCAATTCAAAGGTCATTTTCCCACATGATTTCATCTAATTTGCCAAAGCAACCATCTTTGAGAAGAAATCAGCACTGGTTTCATCATTCTTTGTCTGCAAGTTCTCATATTGTTTCCTCAAAGATTTCGGCTTCACTTTCTTTAACTTTTCATCTCCACCATATAGCTTCTTGAGAGTATCTCAAGCCTTCTTGGTTGTTTCTGCTCGATAATCTTCTCAAAGATATTTAAATCCACACACTGATGGATTAAGAACAAGCTTTTCTCATCTTTCATGCTCATTTCGCGATGAGCAACCCTTTATGCCTCAGTAGCATTTGCTCTAATGCTATAAAAAAACATCATTCACGATTTCAAGCATATTTTGAAATTTGAATATGACTTTCATATGTACATACCATCTATCATAGTTTTCTCTCTAGAAAACTGGTAGATTGATTGGGAATTGATTTGAGGTAGTGCTTTTATTCGCCATGGCTAGGGATTGAGGACCAAACTGGTGCTCGTAATACCAATTTGTTGGGTAACCTGTATCACAAGTTACTTGACAAATGATGATAAATTAGAGAAAATTAGATAGTGATTGAGGAAAAAGAGTATTGATTAATGTATATTTCAATTACAATGAGGGGTGGTATTTATTGACACACTATTCATCCAAATCAAATTTAAAATAAATTGTCTATAACAGTCATATACCTAAAAGTGATATACCCACCCGTGTATATGACATACCCTTAAAGTATATTTTTAGAATAGTCTGTACAATTAAAATTGATATATCCACCCAGATATATGATATACTCCCAAATATATTTTTAAAGCAGTCTAAATTAACCATCATAATAATAATAATAATAATAATAATAATAATAATAATAATAATAATAATAATAATAATAATAATAATAATAATAATAATAATAATAATAATAATAATAATAATTTTATTATTATTATTATTATTATTATTATTATTATTATTATTATTATTATTATTATTATCAACTATTCTATCCAACTTGTTTATTTGATTTTTTTTTTGAAATAACACATATTTTCAAATAAAATACCAAAATTACTGATTTTTCAAAAAAAAATTATCAAACTAACTTAATTTTAACATGCATGCGCCATATGATATAGCAACAACATTGAAAATGAAAATCAAATGAACTGATGCGTCATATCATATGGCAACACCATTCAAATGCCCTAATATTTTCAGAGGAGGCATAGTATGATATGGCGCTTTAGTTCAATCCTTTTTTTTTATTAATTATTTCAATTAAAAAAATTAGAAAATTAAGACTGCACACTCATTCGTAGTTAAAATAATAATTAATAAAAAAAAGATAGAACTGAGGCGCCTCCTCTAAAAATATTAGGGTGTTTGAATGATATTGTCATATGATATAACGCATCAATTCATTTGATTTTTATTTTCAATGTTATTGCCATATTATATGGCTCATGTATCTTAAAACTAAGTTAGTTTGATTTTTTTTTTTGAAAACTAAGTTATTTTGATATTTCATTTGAAAATGTGTTATTTAAAAATTAAAAAAAAAATCTGTTTATTTAGTTAAGTAAACCAAATAGATTGACCGACCTTAAAAATTCATAAATAATTCATAAATAATTCATTTATAATTCATTTATATATTCTTAAAGTATTACTAAGATTCGCTCATTTAAAAGAAAAATTGCAGTTTCCATGCCTTTTTAGTTAAGATAGCTGTCCAAAAGTATTTCTTTGTTCCCAAGTGAAACCAGCTTCACCACCGACACACTTCCAAGTTCAACAAGTGGTTGTCATCGGGGCAATGTTTGGTGAGAAACTAGACAATAGACAATGGAGTAGTTGACATTGATGACTTGTGAAAAACCTTAGCATGTGTTCATTTTACAATATGATATTTGTCTTTGTTAAAATCACAATACGAACATAGTCACATGAGAATGTCTCTTCCACCTATATCCAAAGACATGTTGAATCCATTTTCTGTTAAAAATATTTCATTTTAAAATAAGTTTTAATTACATGGAATAAAAAAAATCACGTTTTTAGGTAGTAAAATATTCCGGTCACTTCCACTAATTTTGGTCTTTTAGTTCTGTTTTTGTAGGAGGTAGAATATTAGGCTGTTTCACAAGTGCTTTTCATAAAGTGAAAAAAAGTAGCAAATATAAATAAATTGATAACAAAACAAACGTCATACAGTAAGTATATGTTTTTCTAATAATCAATCATAACCCACACAGCCGCAACCAAAGCTTTATTCATTCCCAATTGGTCTCATTTAACAGAAACCAACAGTTGTTCTTTCTCTTACCCTTCAACCCAATTGATAGATTGAGATTCTAGGATAATAATCCAAAAGAATTCTCCATCTACCAGAAATCTAAAAAATGTAATGTGAAAACAAAAATATTCCAAAATGGAATGTAAAACAATACGGATAGAATCATCTTTATTCTTTCCTTCTTCAACAATCTCTTGATCATCTCAGTACCTGTAGTGAGCAGGCTTGTATGGACCCTCAACTGGCACACTGATGTAATCTGCCTGATCTTTGGAAAGCTTGGTAAGCTTAGCTCCAAGCTGGTTAAGATGAAGAGAAGCCACCTTCTCATCAAGATGCTTAGGCAAAACATACACCTTCTTTTCATACTTCCCAGAAGTCTTTTCTTTCCATAGCTCAATCTGAGCAATCACTTGGTTAGTGAAGGAGCAAGACATGACGAAACTCGGGTGTCCAGTAGCACATCCCAAGTTCATCAAACGACCTTCAGCCAAAACAATGATACCGGAGTTGTTTTCAGGGAAAACCCATCTGTCAGTCTGTGGCTTAATTGTAATACGCTTCACGCCAGGGTATGTCTCGAGACCATGCATATCGATTTCATTGTCGAAGTGACCAATGTTGCAGACGATGGCATTGTTCTTCATTTTCTTCATGTCACTGACCATGATAATGTCTTTGTTACCGGTGGTGGTAACGAAGATATCAGCCTCAGAGACAACATCCGCAAGAGTCAGAACCTGTAGACCTTCCATGAGTGCTTGAAGTGCACAGATTGGATCGATCTCAGTCACGATCACACGAGCACCACCTTGTTTCAATGCAGCAGCACAACCCTTGCCAACATCTCCGTAACCACATACAACAGCAATCTTTCCGGCAATCATCACATCAGTAGCTCTCATGAGTCCATCGGGAAGTGAGTGACGGCAACCATACAAGTTGTCAAACTGTTATATAATCACAAAATAACATTGTTATGTTAGAATCTTAGATCACATAAAAATAAAACAGAATTGAAACTCTAATTAACAGATCTGAACAAATCGAATATATGAACAATTTACAAAACCAGAAACAGAAATTCGGAAGAGAAAAAAACCTTGCTCTTGGTAACAGAGTCATTGACATTGATAGCAGGGAACAAAAGGGAACCATTAGCTTGCATCTGATAAAGCCTCTTAACACCGGTGGTAGTTTCTTCAGAAACACCAACAATTCTATCCTTCATCTTGTGGTAACGTTTTGGATCGGTTTTCAATCCATCTCTGATAATGGTATACACGATCTGCATTTCAGCATTATCAGTTGAAGAAGGATCGGGTAAAGTACCATTCTTCTCGAAAAGCTGTTCAGCTTTAAGACCTTCATGGATCAAAAGAGTGACATCACCACCATCATCGACAATGAGATCTGGTCCACCGGAAGGACCCCAGTCAAGAGCGCGTTCAGAACACCACCAATACTCCTGGAGAGTTTCACCTTTCCACGCGAAGACGGCAGCGCTGTCGCGAGCGATGGCGGCAGCCGCGTGATCTTGTGTGGAGAAAATGTTGCAGGAACACCAGCGGACTTCGGCACCGAGAGCGGTTAAGGTTTCGATGAGGACGGCAGTTTGGATCGTCATGTGGAGGGAGCCAGTGATTTTGGCGCCTTTGAAGGGCTGGGAAGGACCGAATTCGGCGCGGGATGACATGAGACCAGGCATTTCAACTTCGGCCAGCTCGATTTCGAGACGGCCGAAATCGGCCTGGGACATGTCTTTCACTTTGTATTCACGGCCGCTTGTGGTGGTTTCAACCAGCAACGCCATTTTGGAAGAAATATGGGGAGAGAAAGAGAGAATGTGGTAAGGGAAGAGAAGGAGAGTGTGTGTTTAAGAGTGGGGGAGGGGTGAGTATAAATAGGTTTGAATGACTTAAATGAACGAAGGGTATTTTTTTTCTTGTGGTTATGGTTGAGATTAATCTAATTCTTGTGGTTATGGTTGAGATTAATCTAAACCTATTCCTACTTCATCTCCTTTCTAAGACTAATTTTAATCGATGTAATAATCTAACAATTGTGATGACTCAGTCCATTTCTAATTTTTTACTTCTTCCATCTTATAAAATTTTAAAAATTACAATATGTTTGTTATATGTGTTTTTTAACTTAAAGAGCATTTTTTAATTTAATCCGAATCACGAATTTTACTGATCTCAACTGATATCAACCTTTGATATCAACCTTTTATTTACTTCAACATCAAATTAGAGACGTAAGCTAGGACCTTTCTCACACACCAATAACACACTTACCTTACCTACCCTCTTTTCTTTTGTTGAAAAAACACTCTTCTTTGAAGTACAAAGTCTTGTGTAGTAACACATTTTTATTCAAAATGTTTTTCTGTATCCTGCTATAACATAAAGGAAACGAGAGTGATAGATGCGAAAATATTTTAGGTAAGCAATGTGATGATGGAAAAAGAAATGAGAGTATATTTAAAATAGATGTTAGAATATTATGAACCACCTTAGTCAAATTTGTATTCCTCAAGGAGATTATGGTCACATGCGTATGTTAAATATAAAATTTAATTAGTATTAATGAAAAATAATCGTTATTATTTTTTAAATAATAAAGGATGTCCTAGATGGACTTTTTTATATAGTAATATCATTGTGTTTTTAATGAGAAAAATGTTAGTATTATTTTTCCATTAAAAAATAGTGTATAATGTTAGTGTCAGAATCAAATAAAAAAACCTATTAACTTCATTATTTTTTTTTAGAGTTTGATCATTAAGGGTAGGACGAGTTACAGTCCAAATTCAATAGAACTCAACTCAATAATAATTCGTTCTATTGAGTAAGGTTAGGTTGAGACGACTTATAAATAAACTTAATCAAATTGATACAAAACTAATTTGTAAGTTTGATAGGGATACGAGATATAATACATTTATGTTGGATTGAGAGTATTATAACTTGAGATATGAAAATCAAATATGATTGTCAGACATTATTAAAAGATAACATGATCAAAGATAATCACATTAAATGACTTCTAGTGAGTCTTAAACACAAGACAAAACAAAATTATTATATAAAGAAATAATCGTAAAGGAATAGATAAACACAACTCATATAATATATAGTTAATTAAGAGACTGTTATAAAATTCATAGAATTATTATAAACACTTTAAAATAACTATTTATAGTTTAATCACACCATGAAATTTAATGTGTGAGGCTTTCAGCAAAAATAATTCTCTTTGTTGGTGCAAAGATAGAATAAATGATGAAATAGGAAATATTACTAATAAGAGAATGACGGCTACAAAACATGACATTAGGTTACAATGATTGTCACCCTATTTATAAGCTAAAACTAGGGTTACTAGAATAGGATAAATACTAAAATACCCTCTAACAAACTTATGGGCTAAGAAAATAGTACAACTAAATAAATATGAATTATCATTAATATTCTAATACCATCCCTTAATTCATATTCCATCAAAACTTGTAACACCAATTCCATCCCTTAATCTGAGAAATTGATCAGTCTTGATAGCTTTCGTCAGAACATCTGCCAACTGCTTTTGAGTGCTGCAGTGTACAACTTCTAACACTCCACTCTGAACTTGATGTCTCAGAAAATGATACTTGGTCTCAATATGCTTGCTTCTCCCATGCAACACTGGGTTTCTGGCAAGGTTGATTGCAGACTTGTTGTCAATCATCAACTTCAGAGGTTTGTCTACATTAATCTTCAGATCCTGCAACAGATTCAGAATCCACACAGCTTGGCATGCAGTAACAGCACCTGCAATGTATTCAGCTTCACAGGTTGACAACGCCACAACAGGTTGCTTCTTGGAACACCAAGAAATGGGACCTCCCAGAAATTTGAACAAGTACCCAGATGTACTTCTTCTGTCAACTCTGTCTCCACACCAATCAGAGTCTGAATAACTCAGAAGTTCTGACTCATTATTTCCTCCAGAGGGAAATAACACTCCATACTTCAGAGTTCCTTTGATATACCTCAGAATCCTGACAGCAGCTTGGTAATGGGACCACTTAGGTTTACTCATGAACCTACTAACCATCCCAACTGAGTAGCAAATATCAGGTCTGGTATTGCACAGATACCTCAGAGAACCAACCAACTGTTTGAAGGTTGTAGCATCCACATCCTTTCCTTCAGAGTCTGAATCCAGTTTCTGATTTGTATCAGAAGGTGTGACAGCCATCTTACAATTCTTCAGATCAAATCTCTTCAGAAGTTCTAATTCATACTTGAGCTGATGCAAAATGATACCTTTCTCAGAATATCTGAACTCCATCCCTAGAAAGTATGTCATTTTGCCTAGATCAGTCATTTCAAATTCATTCATTAGAACCTTCTTGAACTTGGCTATCTCCTGTTCAGAACTTCCAGTCAATAATATATCATCAACATATAAACATACCAGAGTCATATTGCCTTCAGAAGTATGCTGAACATAGACACCGTACTCCATCTCACATTTCTGAAAGCCTTGCTTCTTGAAAAATGAATCAATCTTCTGATTCCAAGCTCTAGGCGCTTGTTTCAATCCATATAGAGCTTTGTATAATGTGTACACCATCCCTTCCTGATTCTTTTTCACAAATCCAGGAGGTTGTGACACGTAAACTTCTTCTTCTAATGGACCATTCAGAAATGCAGATTTTACATCTAAATGCATCAGAGGCCAATTCCTGTTAGCAGCTATTGCAATCACCATTCTGATTGTTTCATGTCTTGCTACAGGTGCAAACACTTTAGAATAATCCAGCCCAGGTTTCTGTAGAAATCCTCTGGCTACCAACCTTGCTTTATGTTTGCCAATTGAGCCATCTGGCTTTAACTTCTGCTTGAAAACCCATCTGACGCTGATGGCTTTCTTGTCTTTTGGAAGTTCTGTCAGCTTCCAAGTCTTGTTTCTCTCTATAGCATCAAGTTCTTCTTTCATGGCCTTCAGCCAGAGCTTCTGCTTAAGAGCCTCCTCTGTACTTATAGGTTCAGAGTCTACTAACATGGCACACTGAATAACTTCTCCTTCAGAGTCTACTTCAGTGTCTTGCAGCATGTCAAATTCTGCAAATCTTCTGGGAACGCTTCTGATTCTTTGTGGTCTCTGAACTTGTTCAGAGTCTTGAGCTTCAGAGTTTCTAGCTTCAGATGATTGACCTCCAGAGCTTTGACCATCTTCAGAGTCTGGCATATTTCTAGAGTCTGAATTGCCACCAAGATCTGGATTGCCATCAGAGTCTGAATCATCAGAGTCTGGGTCATCAGAGTCACCTTCATCTTCTGAGTCATCTTCAGAGTTTGAATCAGTATCAGAGTCAGAGTCAACGTCAGGGTTTACTTCAACTTCAGAAATTCTTAACTCTGGCCTTTCTTCAGAGGTTCTAACATCAGAATCAGATTGAGACTTATCCCAATTCCAAACTTCTGATTCCTTCACAATCACATCTCTGCTGAATTCAATTTTATTGGTTTCTGGACAATAGAGCTTGTATGCACCTGTACTGTGGTACCCTATCAGAATCATCACTTTGCTTCTATCATCCAGCTTCTGTCTTCTGGCTTCTGGAACATGTTTATAGCAAACAGAACCAAATACCTTCAGATGACTAACACTTTGCTTGTCTCCAGTCCACTTCTGCATAGGAACTATTTCCTTCAACTTCTTCGTAGGACATCTGTTGAGTACATACGTTGCAGTGGCAACAGCTTCTCCCCAGAGCTTCTGAGGAAGCTTCTTCTCCTTTAGCATGCTTCTCACCATATCAAGCAAAGTACGGTTTCTTCTTTCAGCAAGACCATTGTGTTGAGGGGTATAAGGAGCAGTAACCTCATGCTCAATTCCATTCTCCTCACAGAACTTCTGGAACTCTTTGGAGTTATACTCACCTCCACCATCAGTTCTAAGAATCTTCAACTTCTGACCACTCTGATTCTCAACCTTCATTCTGAACTTCTTGAATTCATCAAACACCTCGTGTTTGAACTTAATAAGGGATACCCATGTCATTCTTGTGAATTCATCAACAAACAACACAAAGTATTTATTCCCTCCAATTGATGCTACTGGAAATGGACCACACACATCAGAATGTACAACTCCCAAGGCATGTTTTTCTCTTGGAGCAACTTCTGATGCAAATGGCAATCTTGGTTGTTTTCCTTCCATGCAAACTTTGCATGACTTTTCAGGCTTCTTAATTGCAGGAATTCCATGTACCAGCTTCTTTGAATTCAGATGTTTTAGGCTTCTGAAATTCAAATGACCAAATCTTCTGTGCCACAGCTCACTCTCCTTCTCAGTACTTGTTGCACTAAGACACTCTGAGTCTGCAGTTCTGACATTCACCTTGAATGTTCTATTCCTTCCCTGTTCTGACTCCATAATCAACTTCTGATTGCAGTCATACAGCTTCAGAAGATTATCCTTCATGGTAACTGAAAAACCTTTCTCAATTAATTGTCCCACACTCATCAGATTGCTTCTGATGCCAGGTACATACCACACATTCTGAATCAATGCTATTTTCCCATTGTTCAGAGTCACTCTGACATTTCCCATACCTTCTGCATTAAGATATTTGTCATCAGCACATCTGATCTTTGTTCTCTTTTCAGAGTCAAAGTCAACCAGCCATTTCTTGTTTCCAGTAAGATGATTTGAACAGCCAGTGTCCATATACCACCAGTCTGTCAGATCATCAGATTCAGAGGCCATCAATAGCACAGATTCGTCATCAGAACTTCTGGCTATATTTGCTTCTTC